CCCAGACTGGAGTGCAGTGGCTGCTCCTGGCCACCACAACCTCGACCTGCTGGGCTCCGGCGATCCTTCCGCCTCAGCCTTCTGAGTAGCCGGAATTACAGACGCGTGCTACCACGCCCGGCTGATTTTTTGATTTATTGTAGAGATGAGGTCTCGCTGCCCAGGCGGGTCTCGAACCTGCGGGCTCAGGCAATCCACTCACCTCAGCCTCCCAAAGGCGTGGGATTACAGGCTGAGCCACTGAGCCCAGCTCCCTTTCATTTTTAACCTTTATCAAAACCAAGACTGTCCTGGATCCTAATGTGAAAGCTACTTTTCAAGTCATCAATAAATGTAATATATATATCCATATATCCATGTGGTATTTTTCCTCTACCCTCTGTTCAACTTGTGGCATTCAAAACACACTCGAGAGTTATCTAGTTAGAAAAAAGCCCTTTGTCAGTGAAATCAGGAATCAGACCCAGTAGTCTGCTGTAACAATGCTAATCTTGGGGCCGACTTCCAGAACAACTGCAAATTGCATCTTGGTGTTTATGCCTAGACTGACACAGTCCTTTGGGAAGATACCTGAGGAAGACTAAGTCAGGAGTATTGGATTTGAATTCTTGCTTTACACACAGAGTGACTTTCAGCATGCCCATATTTTTATGTGAAGCTACTCCTTGTCCTTCCTTCCTGATAGTGTTGCTGTAAGGATGCAGTGAGATAATAATGTCAATACATTTCACATACTTTAAGGTGTATTTACAACCACATGTAAAGTGTAAGCACAATCATTCAAAAGTAGAGTGGTGATAGTATCTGTTTTGGAGGCTTATTACTGTCATTACAGATTTCTAAATGTGTAATAAACAAGATACTCAGCTTAGTTTATGTCAAGTTAGGGGATAGAGGTTGGGAGTAGGGTGTAAAGAGAAAATGTTACTCTCCTTCACCAGTTCTCTATGTCAATTAAATCTGCTCTTGTTTCTGCTTTCTTCTCTATCCAGCGTAGACAGTAGGATTCATTGCTTCAACTATTGTCTTATCTTCAACACTCTCTTCTTTGTTTTCACTTTATGGCTCTGATCATTCCTTCTAAGTCTCTTTATCCACATTCTTCTTCTATTAAAAGTTGTATATTTTAGGACTCTTTCAGTTCTAGACACTTTTCTCTTCTTATTGTATTCTCTTTCTGGGATATCTCATTTACCTTCATTTCTTCAATGATTTGCCAATGACTCCCAATATTGTATCTTCAGCCCAACCTCTTTTAAGTTCTGGACTTTTTTTTTTTTTTTTTGAGTTGGAGTCTCACTCCATTGCCTAGGCTGGAGTGCAGTGGCACACTCATGACCACTCCAGCATCGACCTGCCGGGCTCCTGCGATCCTTCTGCCTCAGCCTTCCAAGTAGTAGGAACTACAGGTGCATGCTGCCAGGCCCATATAATTTTTTTGATTTATTGTGGAGACGAGGTCTCACCAAGTTGCCCAGGCTGGTCTCGAAAACGCAGGCTCAGGCAGTCTACTCATCTTGGCCTCCCAGAGTGCTGGGATTACAGGCTGAGCCACCGAGCCCGGCCCAGTTCCACACTTTATACTCAGATATCTGTGTGGCATCATCACTTACCTGATTCACCCAGGTAATTGTAGAGCATCCATGGAATTCTTGCACTGAAGATAAGGAGGAGAGCAACATGTTCATTTTATAAGACAGATTATTTTCCTCATCAAGGGCTACTCTTATTCACTCATCCTCTCCAAGTGAGAGTTTTCACTGATTCAAAAAAATATTTATGAAATGCTTTCTATGTTTTAAGCTGGGAGTGCAACGGGATGAAAACAGAGTATGTCCAGCCCTCCATTTGTGACCTAGACCCTTCTCCCAGGTTCCGTCCCTTGCTGAATGGAATACTATTCACAACAGTTGCTCAAGTCAGCACTGAAGAGTTTTCTTGATGCTCCCTCTCCCTTTTTCCCTTTCCAGTCTAATGCTAAGTTCTCTTGATGATGTTATTAGTACCTCTCCATTAGCTCTTGAATCTGCCCACATTCCATTTTACATACTACTATGTGTTGAGTTTAGTCATTTCTTGAGTGTAAGATTGCCTGGCTGTGCAGCCCTTCAACCTTGCTTGCCTTTTCTAATTAATTGTCCACAGAGCAGCTAGAATGGTCTTTTCAAACAAAAATGATCACAGCGCTCTTCTTCAAACTTTTTAACACTTCCTCATTGCTTTTGGGCCAACATCCATGGTTCTGTCAAGCCTATGTCCACTTCAGTGTTCTCCTTGCTTCTTCCCACTGTTCTGTCTTCATCTCCTGGAATGCATCATATTGTCCTGCCCCCCCCACCCCGAGACCTTTGCATGTGCTGCTGCTTCTAAAAAAAAAAGCTTCTACTTTTCCCTAATCATAGTGGGTAAGTGGTATTCACCCTTCAGGTTTCCATACACAAGCCATTTTTTTCCAAGAGAAACTTATTTTGACACCTACACACCCCTCCCCCACCACTGCCAGCCTTGGTTATATAGTTTCTGCCTGTTTCTTTTCTAAAACTCAATGTGTTTATAATATTTATTCAGTGCCTGAACTTCTTGCTCGACTGTGAGCATTATAAACAGAACTGTGACTGTTTTGTATTAATATATTGTTGCACTCCCAGCATGAAATCTAAAAAGCACTTCATAAATATTGTTTGAATCAGTAAAAACTTACTTGAAGAGGTTGGTTGAATAAGAGTCAGTTGCAGCCCTTGATGGGGAAAATAATCTGTCTTGTAAGATGTTGAATATTGTGCTCTCCTCCTCATCTCTAATGAAAGAATTACATGGATATATTACAGATTGCCCAATCAATGTCCTAAAGATGGTTCTTATTTTGAATATGAGAATCTGATACCTAACTGGTAAATTTAGACAAATGTGGATGTTCTAAAGAGTTTTAATTCTTTGTTTTTCTCTGTAGTGGAAACTAATTTATCTCTAACTTAGATAAATACAGAGCTAAGAAAATAATACTTAAATGAGAACAGTTTGGCCAAGTGCTCAGGCTTTATTATACAAATGTCTCCATTCAGAAGGATCTTAGTACTTCCTCTGTTGCTTGTTCCTTTTTAAAATATTTTAATAAAATGTATGACTCAAACTTGTTCCTTTTTAAAAGCTGAAGTCATAACCTCACATTTAATGAACTGTGTTTTGAAAACAATTTTTTAAGAAGTAAAAATTAGAAAAAATTATGCTTGAAGGGATTTATTTTAAGAGAATCATTTGCTATTTTTGAATTTGAACCTCTGTAGCTTAATATGGAAATTGAGTGTCATGAAGGGAGAGACAGCTTGTCAGATTGAATAAGACTGGATAAAATGTTTGCCTTGGTCACCTGTGTCAGGGTCTAAAGTTTGAATGGATTGTTTTGGAGTTCTATGTTCAGAAACAAGGACTTCTGAATTCATACTTAAGGAGATAGGAAATGGCAAAGTTTTAAAAAATCTGTTCATAAAATTTTTATCTTTCTGGCTGGGGTGCAATGGCTTATGCCTTTGGGAGGATCGCTTGAGGCCAGGAGTTTGAGACCTAGCCTCAGCAACACAGCAAGATCCAGTCTCTACCAAAAAAAAAAAAAAAAAAAAAAAAAAAAAGCCAGATGAGGTAGTATACACCTGTCCTGGCTACTTGAGAGGCTGAGGTGAGAGGACTGGTTGAGTTCAGGAGTTTAAGGCTGCACTCTGCTCTGAGTGACAGAGCAAGACCCTGTCTCAAAAAAAAAAAAAAAGATTATCTCATTCTTCATAATTCCCTCATTCTTTATAATTATTATATTTAGACATAATATTCTTTATAGTTATCACATTAAAATATGATGGTTAAATCCAGAGATAGCTTAGACAAGTTTAAAGAACTGTTGCGTTGCTTCAGTGTAATATATTTTTGAAGAATAATTAAATTTTATGTTCTTAGACTGTTTCTGCCAAATTTAACTTTGTTGCATAGGTTGATGTACTGGTTATTGTATTAGGTATCTATTTCTGTATAACAAATTATGGCAAAAACATCAGCTGAAAGCATTTTTATGGTAGTTTCTATCAGTCTGGAATCTGAGTGTGGCTTAGCCAGTACCTCTGGCTCAAGGTATGTCATGAGGCTACAGTTAAGTTGTCAGTCAAGGCTGCCACTGTCTCAAGGTTTGAGTGGGGCTGAAGCGTCTGTTTCTAAGCTCATATGGTTATTGGCAGGCTTCAGATCCACACTTTTTCATAGAGGTCTCGCCACAGAGCTGCCCCGTGACACAGCAGCTAGCTTCCTCCTTGACCAAGAGATGGTGCAAGAGAGTGCCCCAAACCAAAGGCTTAGTCTTTTATAACCTATCTAATGAAGTAAACTCTTCTGCTATGTTGTTAGTTAGAAGTTATAAGTCAGCCGGGCGCGCGCCTGTAATTCTGGCTACTCGGAAGGCTGAGGCGGAAGGATCTCCGAAGCCCAGCAGGTCGAAGCTGCAGGCCGCTCCTGGCCACTGCACTCCAGTCTGGGTGACAGAGTGAGACTCCAACTCAAAAAAAAAAAAGAAATTATAAGTCCAACTCATACTCACGGAAAGGGGCCACAAGGACATGAATACCAGAAAGTGATCATTGTGGGCCACAAGGACATGAATACCAGAAGGTGATCATTGTGGGCCATCTTAAAGTTTTATATGGTGTGTGAGGAGGTACACACACAGTTTTGGGCTGACTTTTGGTTCCCCAAATTTATATGTTAAAGTCCTAACTCCCAAGTACCACAGAATGTAATCATATTTGGAGATAGGTCTTTAAAGAAATGACTAAGTTAAAATGATATGGTTAGGGCGGGCCTTATTCCAATATGGCTGGTTTCCTTGTAAAGTGGAAATTTAGACAACAGAGAGATACCAGAGATGTTTGAATACAAAAAAGACTGCATGAGGATACAGTGAGAAGGCAGACATCTGCAGAGCAGAGAGGCCTCAGAAGGAATCAAACCTGCTGACACATTGATCTTGGACTTCTGGTGTCCAGAAGTGTGAGAAAATAAATTTTCATAGTTTAAGTCACTCATTTTGTGGCATTTTGTTATTGCAGCCATAGCAAACTGATATACATGTATATAACATTTTACTTATTTATTTGTTATTTTTAGAGACAGGATCTCAGTCTGTTGCCAAGGCTGGAGTGCAGTGGCACAGTCCTAACACACTGCAGCCTTGAACTCTTGGCTCAAGCAATCCTTCTGTCTCAGCCTCCTGAGTAGCTGGAGCTACAGACATGTGTTCCTGTACCCAGCTAATTAAAAAATTTTTTTTGGTAGAGACAAGGTCTTTTGTGTCACCCAGGCTGGTCTTGAATTCTGGCCTCAAGAGATTCTCCCACTTCAGCCTCCCAGAGTGTTGGGATTACAGGCGTGAGCCACTGTGCATAGCCATATGTAACATTTTAAAAGAAAATGTTTCTCATAATGTTTAAATTTCATGGTAATTGGATGCATTTTCTTTTTCCTCCCTTGAAATTACAGGAGCAATGTTCCTTTAGTTGGGACTGGGGGCCTTCCTTTCCTACCCAGGGAATCTGGAAAGATGTTAGAATTGAAGCCTATAATATTTGCCATCTGAGCTACTTCACATTTTCCCCAATATTTGGTAAGTTAAGCACGCCGTATTTTGTTTTTCTTTTTGTCTCCTCCTTGTTATAAAAATTAGACTTATAATTGGAAATATAGATTTTTTAAAAAGAAATTTAGAGTTTGTTTTAACTTTGTGATGCATTCAATTTATAAAAGTAAAAAACAGATACAAAATATTTGTCACGAAAACTGACAAGATAAAGCGGGTAGGTGTTTTTTCTTTAGCATATTTTGCAAAAAAAAAAAAGAAAACAAAGAGAAGCTCCAAAGTTTCCTCCGGTAAGTATTCTTTCTGGCTTGCACTTCTTTTTACCGCCTTTGTTGTCACTTTTGGTGTCAAATTCCTGTTTTGCTCACCTTGTTAGACTGGCTTTCTGTCCCTGCACATTTTCTTCATAACTAAGAGCACTTCTCTGAGGGCCTTGACACACAGCCTTGTGACGACTTGAAAATAAATAAGAAGGTAAGCGAGAAAGAAACCATTTCTAAGGTGAATACCACTTTTTTAGTTGAAGGAACTATTCACCGTCCAGGAGCGTTGAAATAAAACCTCAGAACTCTCACAGATGTCAATGAATCAGTTAAAAACTGGTTAAATATTTGTTCATTTCTTCACTCCACATTGTGTTTGTTTGATGTAGAAAAGAAATAAAGTGGGTACACTCATCCCTTCATGTGCCGCACATTGGTTGGAGTGGGGAGGGGAGATATAAACAATTACCAAACAAAACAAGATTGTGTAATAGTCTTCCAGGATGAGAGCCAGAAAATCAAAGATCAGTGAGGATTCAAGAAGTTAGGGAAATCAAGGGTAAAGGGGGAGGTGAATGAGATCTTAAATGATAGTGTACAATGCTCAGTCCAATTACATAGGGGCCTAATTAGATGAAGTCAGTAAGCAAGAATGCAGTGATCACTATTCAATTCAAGCCATATCTGCATTTTCTGAAGGCAGAAGACAAAAGCAAATGAGAGATGGTTGATAATTTGAGGAAGTTATTTTGTGCTGCTGGTATTTTTAAACTTAAAAAAGTCATTAGACAGGGATCAGTGGCTCATGCCTGAAATCCCAGCGCTTTGGGAGACGGAGGCAGGAAGATTGCTTGAGCCCCAGGATTTTGAGACCAGCCTGAGCAACACAGGCACAATCATAGCACACTGCAGCTTTGAACTTGAAAGAAAAGAAAAAAGGAAGGAAGGAAGGAAAGAAGGAAGGAAGGAAGGAAGGAAAGAAAGAAAGAAAGAAGAAAGAAAAAAGAAAAAGAGAAGGAAGGAAGGACAGACGAAAGAAAGCAAAATTAGCCAGGTATGGAAGGAAGGAAGGAAGGAAAGAAAGAAAGAAAAAAAAAATTAGCCAAGTATAGTGGCACATGCCTATAGTCCCAACTACTTGAGAGGTTGAGGTGAAAGGATTGCCTGTGCAGGAGGTCAGCTGTGGTGCACTGCACTCCAGCCTAGGTGGCAGAGTGAGACCCAGACAAAAAAAAAAGACAATAAAAGATCCAATTTGTAACATTAATTAATTAATTAATTTTTATTTATTTTGAGTTGGAGTCTCACTCTCTTGCCCAGACTGGAGTGCAGTGGCCGCTCCTGGCCACAGTAGCCACGGCCTGCTGGGCTTCGGCGATCCTTCCGCCTCAGCCTTCCAAGTAGCTGGAACTACAGGCACGCACTACCACGCCCGGCTGATTTTTTGATTTATTGTAGAGATGAGGTCTCGCTGCCCAGGCGGGTCTGGAACCCGCGGGCTCAGGCAATCCATTCACCTTGGCCTCCCAAAGCGCCGGGATTACAGGCTGAGCCACCAAGCCTGACCTAAAAGATCCAATTTAAATTGCACATGTAAATGTGACTGAGCTCATAATTCTCTAGTTTGGTCCTTCTTACACTATTCTTCTGAGGTGCAACTGAACTAAGAATTTTTGTTACTAAAATCAAATAAAGGTTCATTCTCCCTTCATCTCCCATCCTCACCCTTAAGGTTTCTCAGGTATATATAATAGAATCCAGTGTAATATGTGGTCTGATTCGGCAGAAGTTTATCTATTGAACAGTTTTGAATCTTAATCAATATTTTAGGTGGTTCGCAAAAAGCACTAGAAGTTCTAGGTGCCCTGATACCTGAAAAAAATTTGAATATTTAAAACTTTGATTACAAACCAAACATCAAATAATGGTTCATTCTCCCTTCATCTCCCATCCTCACCCTTAAACTTTCTGAGGGGTGGGGTAGCAGGAAAACTGACCCCATCTCCTGGGGAAGGGAAGGGAGCAGTCTGAATTGGACTTAGGTTACTGAGGTATGTAGGGAGGGAATATGAAGAGAAAGTAACTAGGAAGGGCAGATGCCTTAATTCCAAAGGGTAAGGACATTTATAAGCAAATAATCTGTCCAAAACTGCAGGCCCTGCATGGTGGTAGTAGTGGTGAAGGGTGTGTGTGTGTGTGTGTGTGTGTGTGTGTGTGTGTGAAAGAGAAGGAGAGAGAGGAGAGAGAGTGGAAAAGACAGAGACATATATTTATTTATTAGTCATCTTGCCCATGTTATGTTTTTCATGTTTATAATCTGATGTGATTTGTTCATATTGGGCCATAAATTTATTAGTAAGGGATGATGGCCTAATTTTATAAACTTTTCATAAGGTTATACTAACATATTAATTTAAAATATACAATAGGTTTGTTCTGTTCAATCTTCTGTTATCACAGTTAGAAAAAAAACAGATGTTTTTCTTTAAAAAAAAAGTTTTAAGAGACAGGGTCTCACTCTGTTGCCCAGGCTGGAATGCAGTGGTGCAATCACTGCAGCCTAGAACACTTGGGCTCAGGCAGTCATCTGTCTCAGACTCCTGAGTAGCTGGGACAACAGGCGTGCACCACCGTGCACTCAGCTAACTAGCTATGAGCCCAGCTAATTAAACTGTTTTTTATTTGTATGTTTGTTTTCTGTAGAGATGGGGTCTTTCTTTATTGCCCAGGCTCTTTCTTTATTACTCCTGGCCTCAAGTGATCCTCCTGCCTCAGCCTCCCAAAGTATGGAGATTATAGGTGTGAGCCACTATGCCCAGCTGAGATTTTCAACACATAAATTCCCTTGCTTTCATACCTTCTCTTCTTGAGCTGAGGTGAGCTGTGAATCTTTGACCTCTGCTTGGGACACTTCCACTGCCTTAACATATTCCTTTTCCCACCCTAACCAAATGTACCTGCTGCCTCAGCTTAAAGCACCCCCTCCTTCCTTGTGGATGACCTATCCATGGAGTTGGAAGACTGGGCTAGCTCTCTGCCATCCCTTGGCCTGCCCAGTTGATTAAAGGGCATTACTACTCTTTGCTTACAGCTTAATTCAGAGAAGATAATATTAAAATATAGCAATGATTAGTCAGTCTTACTCAGTACTTGTCTGATAAACATGCGTTCATTTTGAGTCACTTTCTCATTTATCTTTAATTTACTTTATCAATGAAATAACAGTATTCACCCTTGAAAATCAATTTATGGGTAGTTGCCTTGCTTGAATAATCTTTTCTCTGATTAGCTGCCTTGTTGCTTAAGTGCATTTTCTTCTCTGGAGCTTATTAACACTTTCTTGTCCTGGGGGCATTTTGCTTTGGGTCTTTTTTTTTTTTTTTGCCTTGATTTTCTTCTTGAGGATTTTTGTCCTGCTGAGTAGGCAAGGAAATCTTGCTGTTTGGGGGGTGTGGTGGGGGTGGGGGTGGTGACAAACAGCTGTTGGAGCTAACTGTAGGCCTGGCTTTCGGGCTAATGCAGTGGTTAACTCTTTGAAAGGCAGCTGCTTATGTCTGTCCTACGATTCTAGTGGGAGTACAGGAGAATATCTTATGTTTAAAATCATATGTTCTGTGGCTTGGTCATTTCAGCGTGGTGTTTCTTTAAATGCACAGGACTACCTTTTCTCTGCAGCTTTTCATTTTCTATTACAGATGCAAGAAGAAGCCAGCAGGCCAAAGAGGGAGCTGTGAGGCCCTCAGTGGGGCAAAGTTGATCTAGGCAGCCGCCTTTGAATAGCTTTTCCCTCCAATGAGATAAAGCATCTTTTTCATCTTCCATAAGCAATCTACCAACATTTGCGGATCCATTCCATGCTGACTTGAATGTAGCCTGCCTCTGAGCTTCCATTTCCCTGCTAGTCTTTAACCCCCTAGAAGTCATCTTGTGTTCTTAACTATGACCTTTGGGTATATTTTGTTTTTCTAAGTACACCCTGAGAGTTAGAGACAACATCTTTACCTCTTTGGATTAGGGTATAATTTACAGTGCCTGTCAAAGTTTACAGATTGTAATTATTCAAGAAATAGATTTCATTTCTGTCACATAAATGCTCACTCGGCTGTTTTAATGACCTCAGCAGGTAATTTAGGCTACAAAGAAGGTATTTCGACAAGTGGAGGAACTGTGGCACCATATAATTATATGTTTAGTGGAGGGTCGGGCACATTCTCTGTGTTTATAGATTGCAGTGTTCTTTCTTTTTTATGAAGACCCTCTTATTAAGAGGCTAGCATTTTATTGTTATAGTGCCCTCAAAATGCTTTGTATCACACTGAACATATTTACTATTTGAATTTAGGACTCTGAAGTGCAGAAAGTCCCTTTGCTTTTCCGTTTTCTCATTATTCATATCCAAATGTCAATCAATGTGTGCCTGCTAGTGTCATTCTTTTGGGTAGGCACTTCTCCAAGAAGTGCAGGGAAAGTGGAGAGTACTCGGAAAACTTGGGCACTTGTCATGTTAATTAGCATAGGAGCTAGGTACTGCACTCAGGGCCTCAGAAACATCTGCAGAGTCACTAGCAGATCTCCAGGTTTCTTCTGCCTCTGACATTCCATGGTTCTTTTCTTTAGTTTGTAAATTAGAACAGTCATTATAACCTAGTGAGGATATAAGTGTGGAACAGAACAGTTTTTCTTGAAGATAGACATGATATGACTAGATGAAGATATGGATACTTGAGTGTTTATTACAACCAATTAAAGCAAGGCCTAGGATAT